GGGTATAATTTCAGGCGTATTATTTTATTATTTTAGCCATAAGTGTATAATTTCAGGAATCAGTGATTTAATATCAAAGGGTATAATTTCAAACATAAGAGTGTATCATTTTAGACATAAGTGTATATTTCAGACTATGTTTATGCATATGTGCATTCTTTTAGGCATTCGTGTATTATTTCATGCATTAAGGTCATTCAGGCATTCAGGCATTAGTGTATTATTTCAGGCATTAGTGTATTATTTCAGGCATTAGTATATTATTTCAGACAAAAATGTATTATTTCAGCTCTAAAAGTGTATTATTTCAGACATTAGTGTATTATTTCAGGCATTAGTATATTATTTCAGATAAAAATGTATTATTTCAGCTCTAAAACTGTTTTATCTGTCATAGGTGAATTATTTCACCATGTGTATAAAAAGAAAAACTATAAGTACAGGTTAAGTTATTAATGTGCAATTTTTTAGAAAACACCTAATTATCATAGTATAATTAGTAATATGAGCGTATCATATAATGCAAGAAAAAATAATATACAAATAGATACAAAAATCTTTAATTGAATTTGATATGGCATTATTTACATTCAACAGCTAAATGGTAGACTTGAACAAGCTTACTTGATTGTGTTAATCAATACACAGGCCCCCTCCCGGGACCCCAACCAAATCTAAGCTTCAACTGTGCAATATAAGAAGCTATAAATAGAATAATTGTTATCCCTTTGTGCAATGATGCTTTAAATAAAGTAGATTTAAATTGTAATGTTGACTCGCCCACACTCCTGAATATTTCAAGAGCTCACTCATTGGTTAACACTAACACTGAACAAAAGAATAAACCAATCAGATTGTCTTACACCATTAACTTCTTAAATACCTAAAGCTTGCCATTGTCACTGGTCAATTCAAAGACTGCAGTAAGAAATAAGCCAATGACATTATTGTTTATCATTTATTTCGTTTGCAATGTCAAGAAAATAAGGACATGCTATTGGCTAACTCTAAATAAATGTACCATCCCATCAAAAATCTTTTACCCAGTCAAAGTTTAAGATTAAATCTTTTTAGTGTTTGAAATTATTTTTTGTCCAATAGGATTGCAGTATTTCAAATGAATTGAACACACTTACTTTGGTAAATCGGCTAAATGTTAATCAATCTAGTAAATCGACTGTTTATAAAAAATAATTTTAAACACTAAACTGGTTAAAATTCATTAGTATGTATTTACAAAATTAAAATGGTCCTGTGTCTGACCAATTTAATTTTGTAAATACATACAAATAAACTTTAACCTATACTTAGATTTTCTTTTCATGTTTCGAGCAATAAAGATATATTTTTCAAATAATAACATTGCTTAATCTACGAGATAATGATTAAATATAATAAATAAAATTTACAACCTGTAATCAAATGGCTAATTATATTTCGATTTTTATATAAGACAGATTAACTATTGAGTAGAAAACTTACAACTTATATGAACCCCCCCCCCCCCGGCTGACTGCTGATTTATTTGATGTACATGTATTAGAATTATTCTTACGTTACATGTATATTTTACTATTTTACCATTAAATTTAAGCATACTAATTTGCTACACATGAAAAATATCCATAGCAACCATTATATACATGTTTATAAAGGCAGATCCCTTTGTCTTTTGATATGATTATTCTGCCCAGATAAACGGTGCCAAAATAGAAGATCTGACACTTTTATGGAATGAATATATAAATCAAAGGTATATCTGTATAGTATTAAGTAAGGATCACATACCTATGCGAATTTTGCAACTCAATAAAAATGGTAAAGCAGAGCCGTGCATAATGACATCATTTATGTTATACAAATATATATAGTGTAAAGACGCACTGCTAAATGTAAGCGTTACACTATAGGCGTATCAATGAAAAATGATTTTTGAAAATGATTCTTTTGAAGTTCGAACAGTCTTTATTTTGGGTATATGATAAATAGAATATTATATTCGAGTAGGTTCATAAATGAATTTATTGAATTGTTGATTAAAATAATATTTTGCTTGCCAGAGACTCGCTTAATATAATTTTATTCAACTTGTTCAATAAATTCAGTATTGAACCTACACTCATTCAATATTATCTCTATATAAAATAATATATATAACATAAAATGTACAACATGGGTCTGACATTTTGAATATACTGAAATAGCACTACTTGTACAATAACAAGATACATACATGTGTAAGTTCTGAATATTTTCTTTATGCAGGTCATGTCTATAGACCCTGTATTCTTGAAAAAATTATACGATATGATCCTTCATTCTATGTAGTGGACAAATTCTTAAATATTGTTCAAAAAGGCCTCACCATGAATAAATTAATAAATTATACAACTTTATCTTTTCAATATTTGTTTTAACTCAATAACCTAAACCAGACCTAAAGCCCCCCGATTTTTTTGGTCGGGTTTTATGTCATGCCAACACAGTATAGATCATATGGCGACTTTTCAGCTTTACTGGTGGAGAAAGACCTCAGGTACCCTTTCGTGCATTTTTTCAGGCATGAACAGGCATCGGAGAAGAACCACTGACATTACATATGCTAGCTGGCTAACTTCCTCAAATGAAAGATTCCAAAGTCCCTCTTGGGATTCAGACCCATAGTGTTGAGGGACAAGTGGTTAAGACACAAACGGGCATGACCATCAGTAAAACCATCCACTTTCCTTTACTAGCTGGAGAGCTTCCTTACACGACAGAATCCAAAGTCCCTGGCAGGACTGGAATCCACAGAGGTAAAGGGCAAGTGGCTCAAGTTGGTAGCCTTAACCACTCTGCCATGGATGCCACAAAACCACTTTTATTTCAAGCCATATTATGTTACATACTTATTAAGTGAAAACTAAGGAGTAGTTGTCGCAATTTGTGTAATTTTAGAAATAGTTGTAAATAGATAGATATAAGGTCTAAACACTATCATGCTGATCTGTATTTATTTGCTTATATTATAATTGCTAATGCCATAATTGCTTTGAAAAATAAATGTTTATACATTAAGATATTTACAAGCCAGGGCCAAAAACCCTTTCCAAAGGACCTCAATAAACGAAGAAAAACTATTACAACTCGTCTATAAATTCTGAAAGATGGTGAGGAAGAAATGAATTGTGCAACACTGTCCATCTAGCACAGGCCTTAGCAGTATAGAACTGTTAAAATATCTTGACTGCCCTTGGGTGTTATGTGCCCATTTTTGACGCCGTTGCAATCTATGTAATGTGGGGGTTGTTTCGTGAAAGTTGTTCCCCTTCACTGATCATTATTTCCATATTTCAACTATACTTGATAAGTCGTTCATGCATTTAAATCATTTTGGTGAGTTATTAAAAGGTAGCAGTAATTTTAACATATTTCAGGTACTATACGTTTTTTGATGATTTTGACACGCATGATCGATTCAGACAGGAAACGTACCATCAAGGTATACTGGATGGGTTACTAATGTCAGGGTATAAGGACAACAAAATTAGCAGACTACGACGTAGAATTTGGAAAGTTATTGATTACAAGGAACACACTATCCTTGCAAAGGTATTACAGAAATATATTGTCCTAAATCTTGAACATTTATTGGTGATATTTATAATTTGTTAAAAGAAAAATTTTAATCTAAAATTGGAAAACAAACTCAGAAAAAACAGGAATAATGGCTGTTGATTGCTAGGCGTTTGCTAGGCTTTGCCTCACGACACATAAGCAGAATGAAAACAGTTTCATAGAAGACTATAGGATCTTAGACTAATAACAGAAACAGTTGACCGAAACAAACTTGGGTGGGGACGGGGTCACCGATCTCTCTCGTAAGATGTAAAAGAAATGTATTTTTTTCTTTTCTTTTTGAATCCCACCGGTAAAAAACACAAATAAAAATTTTTAATATTAGTGATTTAAATGTGATAAAATTTTCATTATAATTTTTGCCTAATTTCTGTCTTTTTGTGTCTTTGGTTTGCTCATCAAAGAGATAGGTGCATGGATAAAAAGTCACTGGCACCAAATACTAGTATATTCTTTTGAATTTATTGCCTTTCCCTGCAGAAATGTTCCGTCTTTTTAAGTCTATGGTTGGCAAATTAGGCGGGAATTATTCTGTTTGTCTTAACCCATTAGGGTTTATAATGGATAAAACGCTTATAAATACTTTATGCAAGTTACTTTAAAGTCATGCTGCAGTTAACCATCCAATGCTGTTTCGTGTAAATAATCTGCACCTCGATATTTGCATGACATCAAAGTAAAGTATAGAACGGAAATGAAATTCTAAATAATTAGAAAGGTTGCCATTCTTTATCATGATGCAATCCAAGTACAGTGAGACGACTTGATTTTTTTCGTCAAAGCCAAAAACCAAAGTTGAACAGTCGCCAATACAAATATCGATAGTACACAATTTGTAAACATCAATTATAAAAATGCTGAATGAGTTGGACAGAAAGATTGTATATTTAATTTACTTACACTCATCTTTCTTTTTATAAAATTGAGTTGCAACGTTAGGCACGTTTTAGGTCAATGTAAACGCACTGGCAGGAAGCGTGTTTTATGACAAAAGGACGAGGTTTGGGTTCCGAGATACTCCTGGAAACAGGCACTAGACTTTAACATTCAATCAAAAAGGTGTCGTTGTAAATGTCGTTCATAAGAGCAGGCGCAGTAGTACAGTGATAAACGTTCACGTCCATGACCCCATGAGTTCGTTGCATAGTGACTCTCAACAAAAAAAATACTTATGATAAATTCGGATGATATTTAAAAAAAACATGGTCCCGTGTAATGGTGCTTACACCTTGCTTGTTTAAGAACCGGTTGTTCAATCTAGTATTGAGTAATTCTGTAACTGTCGTGATGCAACAGTCTAAAATAATACCTTCGTGCAGTCTTCTCGATTGATTCGCACGTATGGGTTTCAGGCGGAGTCTATATCGCAAACGCTCGCATGCACACACAGACACGCACGTACGCACGCACGTTTATATGGTGAGCAGGCAAGCAACAATAGATATACTATCAGGCGTATTGAACATAAATGAGCCGTGTCACGACAAAACCAACATAATGGGATTGCGACCAGCATGGATCCAGACCAGCCTGCGCATCCGCGCAGTCTGATCAGGATCCATGCTATTCGCTATCAGTTTCTCTTCTTGTAAAGGAGTTGGTAAGCGAACAGCATGGATCCTGATCAGACTGCGCGGATGCGCAGGCTGGTCTGGATCTATGCTGGTCGCAAACCCATTATGTTGGTTTTGTCGTGACGCGGCTCAAATAATAAACGCTTGAATACTTCCAACATATTCGACGCATTAATAATTTAAGGTTCCGTTTACAGGGAAAAAGATGTATACAAACCATGATAATTGTAATGAAATATTTATAGACTTCTCAAATTATTATCGAGTACATTTAGATATGTTCTAGATTGACAGTTATGATAAGAAATTGTACTAAAAAATACATTTTCCAGAAAATAAACTTATGTCGTTTTTTAAATAGAAAAACGAACACTTGAATTAGTGAATTCCTAAATACTTTCTCCCTGAATACCATACTGAAGACATTTTAATCAAATATTGTCTTTTTTTATAGATTTACGATTTTGTATTCATTTTATAAGCTTACCAAAGTCGAGCATTGATGATTGCTGCAGCGTTGTTGTTACAGTTCAGTTGGTGCAAGGGTAGCCCATTACTGTAATCAACATTAAGCTTGGAATATTTGTTTATCATTGTAATAATGAGAAATGATAATTATTTATTTACATGTTTAAGTGTGCTAAGCGCTTTGGTGAAAACACTTGCTAAACATTCGTGAATTTGACTTTTCTTAAGTTATCGTAACTCCTAGTATGATCAACGTAGGTTCGCATTTCTTATGGATAAGATTAACTTTAGTGGGCTAAGAAATAATTAATTGTAAAAACGTTTCCATAACAAAGTTTAGGTGGTAGTGTGACTGATTGGTTGATTGTTTGATTGATTGATTTTTTAGTTTTGGAAATAAATGGTGGGAGTGTGGGCGCAGCAGCCTCCAATATGCAAGCGTCTAATATTATCTTATTTGCGGGGTCCACTAAAATGTTAGATGGTGTTTTTTTGTTTTTTTTTTAATCTGAAATAATAACATTTCTTCTTGTATAATCGCAGATTTACCTTGTGTTGGTATTCCTGATGGTGATGTTATGTATCATGGAACTAGCTCTGAGTACCGATCCAAACTTTCAGCGTAAATTAACAAGATGTGAGCTTTTGGAATATCTAGAGCACACGAATCGTAAACTTGCAGACAAGGCTAGAGACAAATTTGGAAACCTTGACTGTTTACATGAATTTGCGTACGATGGCGATGATGACCTAAATCTGGATGAACTGTTCTGGACGGAGGAAGTGGAATCGTTTATCGATGGAAATATCGATGGAAATATGACGTCATCTAAATCAAATGTGACGCTTCCGGATAAACGAACGAAGCTGTTTGCGTTTGAAGTTATTGGAATGACTACAGCTGCTTTCTTCACGGTTGATCTGTTACTGCGATTATTCACCTGTCCATCCTTGACCCGATTTTTCAGATCTGTGATAAACATATTTGACATTTTAGCCCTTCTAGGCTTCTACATACATATAGTTGTTATAAATATTCAGAAGGAGCACAAATATGACGTTAGTTGGATACGGTTTATTAACTATCTACAGATATTCCGGGTAATGAGACTCTTCCGCATTGTTAGGAACGTGCGTGCTAGTCGCGTGCTCACGTTCTCTTTACGTCAGAATGGGCGGGACATGACGCTGCTTGTGTTACTTGTGATGATTGGAGTCAGTACATCGGCTAGTCTGATTTACTTTATTGAGGACAGAGATGTGATAGAATCTATACCAGTTGCTTGGTACTGGGCAATGATAACGTTGACAACGGTTGGGTACGGTGACGTGACTCCCAAGTCAGGGTTCGGTCGAGTAGTTGCGTCACTTCTGGCTATCTGTGGAGTACTTCTTTTGGCAATAACCCTGCCAATGTTTGTTAACAACTTTCTTACTTTATATCAGTACTCCTGCGTTGATGAAACCATACAAGAACGCGCAAAGAACAGACAGAAACTTAAAGGCGCAATTATAGCGGACAAGTGTCGCATGTAAACAACGCACTGAATATTGTGAAAGAAGAAACAGAAACGTTCTATTATGACGACGACAGTGTATCGGGTACAATTCCGGTTTATGTATTACCGAAGAAACAGTCACTGAAAACAAAAAATACAAAGTGAATAAAACTCATACGTTAACCTTTTGTGCGTAAGTGAGTGAGTGAGTGAGAGAGTGTGTGAGTGAGTGAGTTGGGGGGTAAATGAGTGAGTTAGTTGGTGAGTGAGTGAGTGAATGAGTGAATGAG